GTATATAATGGTAATTCTGTTAATAATGGTTCAAATTCTTCAGGTAAAACAAATTCTTCTTCATCATCATCATCTAACATATCAATTTGTGTATCAAAAGATTTTATTGTATGACGATGAGCTATTGGATTAATTAATGGATCGAAATAGAACGCTGGTAAATCTGGATCTTCAGTTTTAATAAATACAACATTTGGTGTATGATACCATGCAAGATAAACTTTAAATGGATAAGAATTATATAAATATGGAAATGCAATACGATATTCAGTACGTATTGGTTGACGAATAATTATTTTATTTATATCATTAAATTCATTCCAATCTTCATCACTAAAGAAATTAAATTTTAATAGATAATATAAATAAAAGCAAAAAAAAATATTTACTTCGGATTAACATCTTTGACAAGTGGTTCAAATTTAGGACCACCGGGTATAGCAACATTAAGTGCTTTTGCAGTAAAAAATGATTTGAGATCAAATAAATAAAAGTAATTATCATCAACAAGATCAGTTAATAATTGATTACCCATACGATAAAGTGTAGAAAGAACAGGTAAAGATAATTGCCAACGACGATATGTTGTACCATTTACCATTCTAATAGAAAAAATAAAATAAAATTTTCATAAAACTATAATTAATAAAAGTAAACAATCACTTTTTTTTGTCCCCTATAAACTTAAATTTCATTCTACTGATTTCATATATTTGAACAAAAAAAAAGAACTTAAACTATAATCCCAAATGCATGAATTACCTTCTAAGTAACTGTATGAATGCATGAGCTGTGGATAAACAGGATTGAATCTCTCATGTTTTTTCTCTTTATAGACTTTGGTATTCATATATTATCTTTTAGAAAACAAAACCTTACTTTGTATCAGTTAATGGTTTATGATCATAGAACCATTCATAAATAGATTTATCTTCTTCTGGATCCATTTGTAATTGTATAGCTTCTAATGGTTCAACATCAAGAATATTATCGGCATAATCTAATGGTGGTTCTTCATCATCAAATGGCGGAAAACGCATACGTTTAAAATGTCTTCGATCACGTTTTTCACGTCTCATCATAATCCACATTGTACCCCATTGAGCAATAAAAACTGGTTCAATAACCCATGGTATTTCATTAACAAATGTAATTGCACCTGTTATATGATAAATAACTTTAACATTACGTATTTGTTCCCATGGCATAGGCATATTTTCAAGTAATTTATATATAGCATGTGGCATATATTTTAAAGAACCCAAATATACACGTTTATCATGACGAAATTTTCTATTTGTCATATCACCATGATCACGAATTATTTTTCTTATATGTTCAGCTGGCATATCTTCTTTTTGTATATCAGAAAAACCAAAACGTCTTTTGTCAGCATATCGTTTCGTTTGTAATTGTTGCCAACGACGTGCTTTTTCTTGTAAACGATCATCAGTCATATAATCTGTTTGCATTGATGATATATGCTGTTGTTGTTGTTGTTGTTGTGGAATTGATCCTTGTGGTGGTAACATTGGTCGTTGTGTTGGTTGTTGAACAAATACAGGAAATGGTGCTGGTTGCATCATAACTGGTACCTGATTAAGTATTGGAACTGATACAGAACCAGGTGGAACAAAAATAAATTGTGGTTGACCACCAGGAAACAT